GAGCCAAAGATGTTAGAATTGTGTCGATGTCCCAATATTTCTGGACCTGACTGTAGCTAGTAATGTTTTTAATGTTGAAGTACGTTCCGTCCAGCTGATTTCTGTCCATGGTGCCAACTTCAGTCAGCTCAGACTATGTACAGCGTGAGAGCCACAATCTTGAAATGAATGGGAACTTTTTAAAAAAATTTTTGTTGGTTTTAGCTTTTAATCATTTTTCATTTTCCTCTATTATGTTGAAATTTTATTTTTGTGTGTGAGGGACTTGGTAAGAGCAAAATCTCCCTACCCCTCAAGTAAGTGGTAGCATTTGTCTTCCTTGTTGTGGTCACTGAGACTCCTTTTCAATATTATAGTTCCTTCTTTCAATAAAGAGAAGACATTGCAACCTTTCATTTACTTTTTTAAACATGGAAAAACAAAGGGAAGCAGGAAGTTACTAGATGAGATGCTTGTGGAGGGATTTTTTAAAAAAGGTAAAATCATTCAAATGAGGTTGGGATATGTGAAAGGGGCAATTTCTGAATTCAGATTCATGGATGACCACAGTAGCAATTGCAGAGCTGAGAAAAATTATATTTTTTTTCTAATCACATTGACAACATAGATACGGACTCCTTGTGTGGATTACAACATAGCTTTACCTGAATAAAGGATACTCAGGATGTGTACTTCAGGCTTGGACACATTTGAACAACCAGTTTAACATGCTGCCCTCCAGTCTGTGAAGTGGCACAAGATGTAGAACTCTAAACTTTTCACCGTGGCCAACCTCAATGGGGCTAGTGAGTGGTGCTCTTCTAGCAGTTTATTCCTGGGCAATTTAAGGTGGAACCAGTGCTACATTTCCCTGCTGGTGGGAAATAATCCACCAGTCATTCTCCCAAGTGTCTTAGTTACTTCACATATGGATTACTGCAAAGCTGTACATGGGGCTGCCCTTGAAGACCACTCGGAAGTTCCAGTTGATCCAAAATGTGGTGGGAGTATTTATGGGCATGCTGTAGTATGCCCAGGCAACACCTCTGCTATGTGAGCTGTACTGGTTACCTGAAGGCTTCCAGGTGGAATTAAGGATGCTGGTTGCCACTTATAAAAGCCTTCATAGCATAGAGCTTTGTTACTTGAGGGACCATCTTTTTCACATGATATCTCCCCATCCTGTAAGATCTGGGAGAGTTGCCATGCTTCAGGTCTGTGTATGAAGCAGTGCCATCTGATGGGAACCAGGAGGCGTGCCTTCTCAATTACAACACCTGTCCTCTGGAATAGCTTCCCCATTGAAATCCAAACTGCCCCAACCCTGCTCTCTTTTAGACAAGCCTTAAATACCTGGTTATGCCCAGGCATTGGCTAAGAAATGGTGTGGGCTCACTGTGTGTTGGTTTTGTTGTTTTAGTGTTTGTTGCCTCCCTATTCAGCCATCTTTTCTTTTTATGGTTTTGATCATTGTTTGATGCTCTGAGCGGGTGGCCTACAATTGTGATTAATAAATATGGGATGGGAAGGAGATGAGTTCTGTCAGATTTTGTGCAAGGCCCTCCCAGGAGTGGCTAAAACACCCTGATGAGGCTCCTGCATGACAGCCCCTACAGCCACCCACCCCAAATTACTTCACAGGGATGGTGTTCCAGAGGCTACAAATCAAGAAACTGGGAGGGGGGGGGATCCCAGTAAAAAAGATAAGCTTTTATGAGTAACCCCTACCCCAGTGTTTCTCAACCTTGGCAACTTGAAGACATGTGGCCTTCAAGTCTCAGAATTCCCC